TGCATGTCTTATAACTCTCGCTTGTTCTGCTGCTGCTGCTGCCGTTACCTCTGACGATGGACTTCTATACGAGTCTGAAAGCTCAGGACAATAAACACAGTGTTCCTGTGCTCGACTCTTCTTCTTCACGTATGATTATTGAAATAACGGTAGTACTATGTTTGTAGCGATTGGATTGCCCACTAGATGGGGTTTTGGATGTTCAGGCTAAGCAGTAACCGGCGGTATCCAGGGGTCTCTCAAACACACTCACGATAAGGGAATGCCCAAAATATGCCAGTAAAGGAGTCCACTATCGAATGTGTATGTCTTCACGCGGTGTTCTGGTGGAGGAGGTGGGAGAATGCGGTAGATGCTGTGCAAGTCTACATTTACTATAAAATAATTCACGTGCAAGTCACAGTTTCTGCTTCAAACTTACTGTGGAGCACACGGTGGTCATTGTTTACAACGACGGTCGGACTTTCGGGTGTCCAAACGCCCCCTAAACACACTCAAGATGGGTGTATGAGAATATATGTCAGAAATAAGGTACACTGTCGAATAAAATTTCGAGGAGAAATAGGAAAGTTGACTAGGGTGGCACAGTCCTTGTTTAAATTGGCTTTCATGTGTGATTCATATTTACCGCAATTATGGAAGCGAGTTTTACAGTATGCATTGATGAGACGTTTCGTGATTCTTGAGGAGTATCTTCTGCATCTGTACAGCCGTTTAAGTAAGATTCGTGTATAATTTATTGCATGACCATTGTGGGCTGCCGATTACTTCATTAAACGTCTCTTAACTACGGCACTGACAACCGTTATATGAAATCCCTATGTATGCGCGAATTTAAGTAGTAGTTTTGGCATGCGCAAATATCATGCATTAATTTAGTATGAAAACACAAAGTGGATAATTTAACTAGTCAGTCTGGAGTAAATAACCAATTTAATTACAAATAAATAATTCGACGCAGGTCTTTATGAAATGCAGTTAATTTGCATATAATACAGTGGTAATTTCTGTACAGTAGATGTGCTAACTCATGAAATGTCAACCAAAATTTCGAAATGCGTTCTCGTTTCGAAAAGATGAATTAAATAGTGTTGTGAAACTAATCATACTGCAGCATAAATCTATAATGATTCAGTTACCCAAGGGTGTCGACATTCGAAAGAGTATAGTATCGGCTGCATGCAAGATCTATACTCTGCGAAAAATGACTACTTATGTACTAGGCAATTTTTTCATTGATTTTCGATGCCATTGAAAATTCATTAATATTTCATGGAAAACATGCATAAAAATATTCATTCTTTTACTTATTCGGTAGAAAATCACGTCTTCTTTCAAATTAATGCACAAAAAGAGTATAATTCGGTTCCCAAAAAGTTTCTAATTGTGAAATATTTTAATACAGTTAAATGGCCTTTCATGAAACGTCATGAACCTGCATTTACGAATGTGGCTTGTAAAGTTAACAACATTGCTCAAATCAACCGCTTACTTTAATGAACCTCATATGGTCTCCTCTTAACACCGTAGAGAAATCCATGGTTTTCTATACACGGAAAATATACAGCTTGTAGTTTTGAAACCCTGAATGCAAGTGTAACAGCAAGTCGGGTTCAAAATGATTCGGCAATTAGAAAGGGTTTTTAAAACCGAATTATTTTCTTCTTTTGGGTATGAAATTGAAAGAAGACCTGAATATCAATCGAATAAGTAAAAGCACGAATATTTTATGCATGTATTTTATGAAATATTTTTGAACTTTCAAGGGCATTTTTTGCAGAGTTGAGATCTTGCATGCAGCCAAAAATAAGTTCGTTCGAATGCAGACACCCTCTGGTAACTGGATCATTATAGATTTAAGCTACATTATAATTAGTTTTACAACACTACTTAATTTATATTTTTTAAACGAGAACGCATTTCGAAATTTTGGTTGACATTTCATGAGTTAGCACATCTACTGTATGTGAAAAGCATTAAAATTACAATAAACTGACGCGTTATAAGGAAAGGATCTGCAGAGTAACTGCAAGCTTTCGAAAGAACTTATTTTCGGCTGCATGCAAGACATCTACTCTGCAAAAAATGACTTTTTATGTACTAGGCAATTTTCTCATTGATTTTCGATGCCATTGAATAGTCATTTATATTTCATGGAAAACATGCATAAAAATATTCATTTTTTTCTTATTCGGTGGCAAATCACGTCTTCGTCCAATTTCATACTCAAAAGAAGAGTATAATTCGGTTCGATGCTACTTAGGATGCTACGGCATTTGCTTGTATAGTAAAGAATAGGAATCCCAGAACGATTTCTCGGAGAACATTCTGTTCAAAAGGCGCCGACTATGAGCAGTAGATATCCTCAGTAACATCCTCTTTGAGATGATTCACGAAATATTGAATCTGGTTCAGAAGATTGCCTCTTGTCCCTAAGTCTGACATTTTTTAACTAAGACGCTTGAATGAGATGCATTTAAAGGCCTAAGCACATTCAGAGCAATCGATTTTAATATA